GTCAAAAGATTTGCTCCAATAGTCTCGTAGATTAGAAGAAGTCTTGTGTTATAAACAGATAGTAGAAGAAATACTACAAAACTTTTAATTTCTGTCTCAGTCACACAAAATGTATGATCGTTTTTATCACGTTGGCCATACCTGTTTGTCTCAACTACTATTATATATATATATATATATATATATATATATATATATATATATATATATATATATATATATATATATATATATATATATATATATATATATATATATATATATATATATATATATATATATATATATATATATATATATATATATATATATATATATATATATATATATATATATATATATATATATATATATATATATATATATATATATATATATATATATATATATATGAATAAATCTGTGGCGCAAAACGTTGGTGCTAAATTAATGAAATTTAATTTTTTTAAAAAAAATGTTAGCCACAAATCCGTTTCATATTTAGTTTTAACTTTATTTGAAGATGCCATTTTTGTGTAATATGAGCATGCTCAAATTACCCAGTGTTTTTCATTGAAGTTATCTAAAATCACAGTGGTTTTAACTGAATTTTGAATAAAAACAAAACATAGTAAAAAATTTTAATATTTTAACAATATTAGATATTTCTGTATTTAAATTCAAAAAGTTTGAATTTTTATTGTTTTCGTTAATAAAGTTGAAAAAATAAGGAACTAACTTTTTTCTTTTCTTTTACGGAGAACAAAGTAGTATTGTTTCAATAAAAAGTGGATTAAAATTTGATCTTTTAATGATAAGTTTTTTTTTTTTTTAACGAATCATTAAATTCCAAAAATTAGTTCTGATTGTCAGGTTGGTATTTTTTTACTTAATGTTATTTTTTTGAACTAATTTAAGGTGCTCATATTATCAAGTGGTCTGGGTGATATGAGCACTTTTGCTACTTTTTTAAAATTTCTGTATGTTAAAAGAAAAAATTTTGGGTACCAAAATATATAAGTGGATCATGAGTAGTGATCCCTAAAAATTGTTTATTCACAAAAGTTTTGGATCCAGCATAATTAATTTTGAAAATAATTCAGTTTTTGCTTTAGGTGCTTATATCAACCTAATCTACCCTAAATTTTAAATGAATCAGAGTTTTTTAACCCAGCAGGGCCCATTAGTGACGTTTTTCACCACCTTTTCTAAATCAGTTTTTGGCTAAATTATTAATACATATGTTTATATTTTTATGTTTTTGTGTAAGGCAGTTCCATTATTTAATAAAAATTGCTTTTTTTAATTTTTCTTCGCAAAATTTGCTGTTTGGCAGACTATAAAACTTGAAAATTTTTAAATATTTTAAAACCAAGGACCTCTTTCAGGTTTTTATTAACCAATCCGTTTGTATTAGCTTTAAAAAATTTTATGTTTATGAAGTATGTTTATGAAGATTGTACAATGCTTAACTAAAGGTTCACTGAAGTTTTTAAGAAGTTTTACTGTTTTTGATAAGTTTGAAATATGATGGTGACAATTGCCATTAGTAAATACATTAGTAGCTCAGATGGTTAGAGCGTTATTGGAAAAAGTTAAAACCCGGGCTGTTGAACGATACGAGTTCAAATCCCGCCACCGCCAACTCAGCGCTTGAGTAGTACTTCGGTACGCAAAAATGTTGGTCAATAACGAACGCTACTTTGGATTAGTCTTAATGACTATTTGTGGCTGTTCCTATGCTAAGCCAACAATATCTTCGGATATAAGAACATTGTATAGAAAAATATAGCATGAAAACTCAAATAAAAAAAAAAATAAAATAAAATAAAATAAAAAATAAAAAAGTAGTGATATGTTATATACAGTGTTAGTATATATATATATATATATATATATATATATATATATATATATATATATATATATATATATATATATATATATATATATATATATATATATATATATATATAATGGATATATATATCCATTTTTATATATAGTTGTTGCAAGTTTTTTTGTACCAAATAGAGATACAAAGCCTCTTGTACGTTTTTTTAGAGTGATCAAAGTAATGTAAGTTATTTATTTGCAAAATAGATCATCAATTATATATAAAAATGAAAAAATACAACTTTATGATGGAACTTAAAGTTTCATACCATTTAGGCAATCATCAGCCATATATATATATTTATTTTAATCAAGAAAAACCTTTAAAAATACAAAATACAAAAACAACAATAGAATGGGTTCTGACGTCAAAACAAAACAAAAAGAAACCAAATGATATTGCGTTTACGGGGCTTAGCATGAGTTCAATTTGAATTAGGATGATAAGAAAGCTTATGAACGAAGCCTGATTTTAACAATGCTTCGTTATACATGTCAGTAGAATTTTGAAAAATTTCTTTGCTTGACGAATTTGCAGATAATCTTAACTCGATAGAACGCAGAAGTTGTTTTAAAACACTGGGTGGATTGTTTGAATCAACGTGAATATAGCTTAAAGAGTTTCCGGGTTTGGA